GAAACTTATTGAGAGCTACAAGGGATAGGGAGAAGTGGACAGCCATGATCGCCTACATCCTGAAATGACAAGACACATAAAAATTAAAAAAAAATAAAACAATCATAGTGTTAGTTCAAATATACGATAAAAAATGACGGAATATTTTAGTAAATATTCGAAGATTTTTATATGTGAGTTTCCAATTATATTGATATCCGGTAATTCTATATGGGGGATCAGTTTATTACTTGATAGCAATAGAAAATTGATCTCTGATTTTATGTCCAGCAAAAAATTGATAATATATTCTTGATTTACCTACGTTAAAAAAAGAGGCAAAAATTGTTTGAAACGACAATACATAGGAAGTTGGGGACGGCCATGATCGTGCACACGCTAATGGTAAACGGCATTCAGCAAAAGAAGCAATAGCGTATTTGAAGCTTAAAATAAAGAAAGTGTTTCTTGAATCACTCGTTCTACACTCTTTTCTGGCTAACCCTACCACGAGTAATTCAGCGGGCTGTGACCCGATAAACGCCCACGCATCTTTCATTCACCCCGACCTGCTCCCCTTCACCTTACAATTCATCCCCACACCGACCCAATGTTGGTAAGATCTTATTTCTAAAACTCACACCCTAAGTCACCCGCTTCTTTTAGCAAACTGAAGTTTCCCGGTCAGGGTTAGGGTTAGCGAGGCATGGAGAACCGGGACTTCTGGTCGGGCCCCGGGCTGTAAGAAAACGAAATGGAAACGAGGCTGAAGAAAAGAAGACTAAGGTATGGGAGGGAGAGCGGATAGGAAGGAAGGTGCAAATAGTGAGAGAGGCAAGAAGAAGAAGAAGAAGAAGAAGAAGAAGAAGAAGAAATAAAGAAAAAGGGTAGGGGTTGAGATGGAGAATACAGAAAAGAATGAAAGAGGTTGGAGACTGAAGTAGGGACCAAGATGAATGGTTCAGATAAGGTTTTAGAAAACTGAGGTTAGATTTAAAGTGAATAGAAACAGTAAGATGGTGGGGACTGGAGCGAAAAGTAAAAAGACGAGTGAAAGACTGTGAGGGAGAGAAGAAAGAATTTCGTTAAAATGAACATTTGCGACCAAAATGCACCCAAGAATATATATATATATATATATATATATATATATATATATATTGTGTGTGTGTGTATTTAGGCAGCATTTTTTCATTGATGCCTGTTCCATTAAATAATATAGACAAGTTTTGTCTATTTATTTTAAGTAAATTCCTTTCATATTTCCTGATAAGCTTAATAACATTATCATTGAAGGACGAAAGAAAATCACCATATTGATACATGTTTTTTTAATCCTATCTAAGCTTTCGGCTTACATAAGCCATATCAAAGATGTCAATTACTTTTCAATATATTAAACAATACACGGACAAAACAATAATGTTAGTCTGTTTTTGTTGCATGAAAGATTTCCAAGCAACGAAAAACTCGTTTATATGAGACGCGGAAGCGAAAATCGCACCGCAGCTCGGTACGTCACACATGACCCCGCGAGAGTGAAAACGAGAAGTATTAAGTATGGGAAGCCGTTGACATAAACCAATGGATTCTGATATCAATTATAGGCATTTAAGAATATTTGTGGAGATTTCATAGTCTATTTTGTTCAGGTTAGGTTTCAACTGTTTTATGTATATAGCTTCAAGAATTTTTAGTTTTTGTTTATTGTTTTCATGTTTAAGTATAGTTGTGTTTTCAACAAGGATTTTCCGTCATTGTGTACGCGGCCAGGCATGTTGTTTTAAATGCCTAAAAATGTTAGAGTTATCATTCAAATATAGTTTCAAGCGTCGTGAAAGCGAGTTTGTGGTGTGACCAACATAAATATTATTTAATCCATTGGAGATACAATCTCACAAAAAGCACTTGAATTTGTAAACTATGTTGTTTTTTTTGCAAATCGCTAACTGTGTGTGTGGTGGGGAGAAGAATCATTGCGAATAATTGAGTTGGATATACTTGATTTAGTGTAGTATATGAGTAACTTAATTTTTTTTTTGCTAGGATCTGTTGTAGATATATTAGTATTTATTAATTTTTTAGTATATTTTCATCTTGTTTATAATTAACTTGTCTATATTATTTAATGAAACATGCATCAATATATATATATATATATATATATATATATATATATGGTGCGATGGATAAATTGTCGTCCGAATTAAGCAAAAATGAAAATAACTGACTCATTTTAACAGATATATGTATATATAAAGTGATGACGAGAATATTCCTCGTATATCTTACATTTTTTTAGTTGACACAATAATCTTTGGCTGTCCCTGCAGTATTCGTCAGTGCTCGATACCGAAATAAGCACTGACGAAGTCTGTAGAACCACTCGAAATGTTTGACGTTTTATTATATATAAGGAGCATACTTGGATCACTCTCTCCCTCTCTCTCTTTCTTTCTCTTTCTCTCTCTCTCTCTCTCTCTCTCTCTATATATATATATATATATATATATATAAGATTTTCTAAAATTTATTAATCTGACAGATTTTTGTCGAGTAAAAGTTATTTTTTAGTGGTTACTCATACTTGCATAGACGCTCTATTTATTTATTTCTACCGTTTTGAATATTCGAAACCTTATTGAAGTAAAGGTGCGCCTTCCAACAGGATTCGCACCTACGTCCCCCTTAGCAAGAAAAACCGTCATTAGATCCAACATGAATGAAGCCAACTCGCCTACGAAAGGTCTCGTCGACCAAGCAAAGCTGAACAGAGTCTTATAAATGCAAATTTCATCAAAGAATATTTCACCCAGTGAGGATCGAACTCACTACCCAGTCACAATTGATCTAGCAAGAAAAATTGTCCACTATTACATGGAAGTACCCCGGGTGGATAAAATATGAAACCTATAGCTATAATCTAAGATATTATCCACAAATGGCAGATACTAACTAACTCGGATCTAGGTTTTTAATTAAATACTCATTCCTATGCCTACATACGGCTATAATCTCGTTTCTTTTATAAACCAGCTGTTCCCCCATTCGCTGTAGAAATAATTATTCACCGTCATATGTCGTGGCTTTAGCCAATATTTTCCTTGGCCCATCTTATGGTTGTAGAAGCGTCTTTTCCATTTACCCTCGGAGTCTCTCATATCCTACTTCGTTTCGCCACCGCTGATCACCGTGGCTTCATAAACAACGTCACTTACCAAACACGCTCCTTTCAGAGGACATACAACTTTTACTATGTAGTTACATCTACGGGATTACTTTTATCACACAATTTCATTATTTTTATATTATGGTTTATCATATTATTCTATATCGTTGGTGCAGCTCGTATAGCTTACCTTCAAATTATTTCTGTTGAAAGTTTTTTCACTTTTGGTGAAATATTTCAGAATAGCTGGGAAATTATATATATATATATATATATATATATATATATATATAAAAAAATGTAAAACATTTTTCAGTTCCACCAAGAAAGGATTCCTTACATGCACAGCGCACACGTCAGCAAGGAGTGCTCTCATATATATATATATATATATATATATATATATATATATATATATATATAATAAAAACAGACCACTTTAAGGTACCATTACAATAATTTATTTCACCAAAATCCTTTATATATATATATATATATATATATATATACATATATATATATATATATATATATGAAGAAATATAGTCTTAAGATGTGCTATATTTATGGGATAAAGTGCTCAATATCAGAGACAGAGCTTGTGTAAATATAAAAGTGAAAATTGAAATCAACACTTAGAGGCCACAGGCTGTTTCATCCTCGACGCAATCGTGGCCTGACGATTGCGTCTAGCAAGAAACAGCCTATCGCCTCTAAGTGTTGACTTCAATGTTCACTTATATATATACACAGAGAGATATATGAACAGACATAGATATAATGTAATGAGATAGATAGATGTAAAAAGATTGAGATAGACATGAAAAGACGATAGATAGATAGATAGATAGATAGATAGATAGATAGATAGATAGATAGATACAGAAACAGCAGAGATAGATAGATGGGAACAGAAATAGATAGATAGATAGATAGATAGATAGATAGATAGATGGGAACAGAGATAGATAGATAGATAGATAGATAGATAGATAGATAGGAACAGAAATAGATAGATAGATAGATAGATAGATAGATAGATAGATAGATAGATAGATAGATAGATAGATAGATGAATGACCTCAGACTTGAGTTGGTTAAACCGTTTGTGGTCAAGAAATCATTCTTTTGGGACGTGGGACTGTTGCACAACGTAACAATTTTGGGCAAAAAGCTGTCTGTGTGGAATTTTTTCCTTATCAATGGAACACAAACAGATCGTTCATGTGTCAATTTTGGTGAGATTTCGTCATTAACTTCAACACACGGTGAGATGAAGTCATTAACTACAACAGTCTGTGACGTCATGCCTATGAGGTGAAGACGCTGATGACATTACTCTTCGAGATAAAAAATCTCAGCTATAAACGCTATATTCGTCGGGACAAGACACCCAGTACAGCATTTCAAGATTGATTAACACAAGGTTTGTTTGTTTAGCGGCATATCGACTCCTTATGGGTCATTTAATTTTCTTGAGAGCATTAGTAATTTCAATTACAAAAATGTATAGATGGTAATGTTTTTTCTATGAAAATGTATTGCTTGTATTTTTACTATAAAAACGAAATTTATACTTCCATAGTGTTTTGGCTCCAGTTTAGAGGTTAACTATTTACCCATAGGAGGTCTGTTCATATCTACATTAATGTATCTGTCGGTTTATCTATCTGTGGCATTCTGTTAAAATTGATCTATCTCTCTGTCTATCTGTCATTCTGTGCAAATCTATCAGTCTATGTCCCTTTATATCTATCTATCGATCGATCGATCTTAGTCTGTTCATATCTATCTCATACTTTTTAGATCAATCTAGCTATATATGTGTCTATCTTCCATTCTGATCAAATCTATGACTCAGTCTGTTCATATCTATCTGTCTCTCTCCCTCTCCTCTCTTTCTATCTATCTATCTATCTATCTATCTATCTATCTATCTATCTATCTATCTATCTATCTCAGTAACCAGCTTATTTGCCTGTTTGAGATTCACCTTGTAATCTGTCGTTGATACGCACCACTCACCTCGCAGCGGCAAGATGTCATATCTAAATAGATCTCATCTCGTTCACAAGATGAAAATTGGATTAATTTATATCACAGAAGCGGAAACATGCAGATAACACGTGACACATTAGGGCGGGGATCACCTGTAACATCCGGGCAACTGAAATGATATTTTGGCAGTCAATGGGTGCATATTTTGTGTGATTTTTTTCTTTCATCACAAAAGTTGGACACTATGATCTCAATAATTAATATGAATGCGAGACATACATCTACCATTCACACTTATCTATCTATCTATCTATCTATATATATATATATATATATATATATATATATATATATACATATATATATATATATATATATATATATATCAGTCATTCATATCTTCTTCTTAATACGTTTATGTGTCTCTTTCTTTCTGTCTATCAATCTCAGTCTTTTTCATATCTATCTATCTATCTATCTCAGTTTATACATATCTATGTACCTTAGTCTTTATCTATCTTTCTATCAATCTTTCCCAGTCTGTTCACATCTCTCTCTCTCCCTCTCTATCTCTCTCTCTCTCTCTCTATATATATATATATATATATATATATATATATATATCAGTCTGTTCATACCTTTCTCTTAATACGTTCATGTGTATCTGTCTATCTTTCTGTCTCTGTCATACAGTTAGAATCTATCTCAGTCTTTTCATATCTATCTATCTATCTATCTATCTATCTATCTATCTATCTATCTCATTTATCTATATCTAGTTTATTCATATTCATTCATCTATCTATCTATCTGTTGTGGATTCGAGACGAAATTCGGTCTCCAATGAATGACAAACGCAGGAATGAAATATAACAAATAAATGTATTTACACAATAATACAATTGGTAATACGGTTAGTAAATCCAGAAACGTGGTTAGTAGCAGTAATAATATATATATATATATATATATATATATATATACAGTCTCGAAGTAGTACTTCCATAGAGTCTACGTGCTTGTAACTGTGACTTCTACAAGCGGTTACCTCACACTATTACTCTACCTCCAACTCAATCGCAATCACTGCTCTCTCTACTCTGACTGACTCTGGGTATTTAACGGCAGCAGTCCAAGTACACACTGGTCGAGTCCACTTGTATGAAAAAAAGGTGGACCCCATAACACTATCTATCTATCTATCTGAGTCTGTTCATTATCTTTCTATCTACCCCGCTCAGCATATCCTTATATCTATCTATCTATCTATCTATCTATCTATCTATCTATCTATCTATCTGTGCATCCTAGCGTGTTCCCATATCTATCTATCTATCTATCTATCTATCTATCTATCTATCTATCTATCTATCTCAGTCTGTTGATTATCTTTCTATTTACCTCGCTCAGCATATCCTTAGATCTATCTATCTATCTATCTATCTATCTATCTATCTATCTATCTATCTATCTATGTCTGTTGTTTTTTCTTCATATCTATCGGTATACGGCTATATTACGTTGAAACACCGGTTCTCGTACGGTCACCGAAGTTAAGCAACATTGAGCCTGGTCAGTACCTATATAGTAGACCACTTGAAATAAACGTGTGCTGAATTCCAATTCCATTCGGTTTCGTTATATTCACTTACGCGCCAATATCCTTGGGAAGATTATGAATCCACCTCTTCTCCCTCCTGCTCTTGGTTAATTAAGGGGATTTGTATCGGTATATCATTTCGATAATCCGGCAAAATTCTAAAACATTTTCTCCAGATGAATCCAAATTTGAACTTTTTGGCATTAAGTGGTAAGTGTATATGAGAAGAAGACTCCTGAGTTCTGAATATATGATTTCAACCGTTAATCATGGTGGAGGTTGTCATGGTGTGGGTGTGGGTGAGTCATGCAATATGATCTGGTTTATTCAAAAAGGGAACAAATTCACCTTTCAACAAGACAGCGATTCAATACACTCTTCAAACTATGTCAAAATTTCAAAGTCTATGACTTGGCCGCTTGAATAGTTTCACCCCCTCAACCATTGAATTTAGTCTGGAATGAATTAGTTAGGAGGGTTCGAAGAAAATACTTTAAAGAATATTGAAAGACTAGGATGAATATATATATATATATATATATATATATATATATATATATATATATAGAGAGAGAGAGAGAGAGAGAGAGAGATAGATAGATGAATAATGAGATAGATGAGATAGATAGATAGATAGATAGATAGATAGATAGATAGATAGATAGATAGATAGATATGGGAACACGCTAGGATGTATACATAGATAGATAGATAGATAGATAGATAGATAGATAGATAGATAAACAGCTAGCTAGCTAGCTAACTAAATAGATAGATAGATATGACAACAGGCTGAGATAGATAGATAGATAGATAGATAGATAGATAGATAGATAGATAGATAGATGGATAGATATAAGAATATGTTGAGCGAGGTAGATAGAAATATAATCAACAGACTGAGATAGATAGATACATACATACATACATACATACATATGGGAAAACGCTAGGATGCACACATAGATAGGTAGATAGATAGATAGATAGATAGATAGATAGATAGATAGATAGATAGATAGATATGCTGAGCTAGGTAGATAGAAAGATAATCAACAGGCTGAAATAGATAGATAGATAGATAGATAGATAGATAGATAGATAGATAGATAGATAGATAGATATGAGAATATGGCGAGATAGATAGATAGAAAGATAATGAACAGACTGAGATAGATAGATAGATAGATAGATAGATAGATAGATAGATAGATAGATAGATAGATAGATAGATAGATATGGGAACACGCTAGGATGTATAGATAGATAGATAGATAGATAGATAGATAGATAGATATGGGAACACGCTAGGATAGATAGATAGATAGATAGATAGATAGATAGATAGATAGATAGATATGGGAACACGCTAGGATGTATAGATAGATAGATAGATAGATAGATAGATAGATAGATAGACAAACAGCTAGCTAGCTAGCTAAATAGATAGATAGATATGACAACAGGCTGAGATAGATAGATAGATAGATACATACATACATACATACATACATACATATGGGAACATGCTAGGATGCATAGATAGATAGATAGATAGATAGATAGATAGATAGATAGATAGATATAAGAATATGTTGAGCGAGGTAGATAAAAATATAATCAACAGACTGAGATAGATACATACATACATACATACATACATATGGGAAAACGCTAGGATGCACAGATAGATAGATAGATAGATAGATAGATAGATAGATAGATAGATAGATAGATATGCTGAGCTAGGTAGATAGAAAGATAATCAACAGGCTGAAATAGATAGATAGATAGATAGATATGAGAATATGGCGAGATAGATAGATAGAAAGATAATGAACAGACTGAGATAGATAGATAGATAGATAGATAGATAGATAGATAGATAGATAGATAGATAGATGTTGACATTTATATAGACACTATCAGACCAATAGATATTAATATACAGATTTATTTGCACAAAGAGAAACATTCGAACAGACTGCGTATAGGCCTGAACGCACTGAGGTAGGCCGAAAGTCTGTCGGGGCTGAACAAACGAGGACAGATAGATGCAAGATATTGTGGAAAAGCAATAATCTGTCTCTTATCCCCCATCTATAGGTTAAATATCAGGATTATCTTGTCTCTCCAAAACATAGAGAAATCAAAAAGAAAGTCGACGTTATTTGAAGAAACGACAAAAGTGTGAATCAATATATGAGTGAGTTTCACACTCATGTTATCCTTTAGCGAGCACGGTATAACATTACAGAACATCTTCGACGTATAGTCGGCAGCTGCTATCTAAGGAATTCGGTCATTTAATCTACGTGCAAAAAGAAAAAAGAAAATGAAAAAAAAAAATTCGCAAGTTTCTGTAGTCCACAAACCTTGGATTTGTCTTATGAATGTGCAAAGGACGTCTTCGATACTGACCTACTGTGTGTTTATGGATAAATTTACGTGACCGACGTTTCTGATATGAATTTCTATCTGGCTTCATTAACTGACATTTTAAAATTCGTAATAATCTCATTCATGATGGCATGTCGCCAAACAAGCCAAGACGCACAGACAGATTCGCACCTCACACAAAAACAAAAACATTAAAAAGAAAAAAAAGAGATGTTAGCGAATGATACATACAGCTGATCTTTAAAATATGAATACGGGTTTATAGAATCAGTTGGAGGAATTGAGCAAATTCCATATTATTATTCCTTTGAACATACATCTTAAGCTCGGTAGACATCGGGTAGGTTTACACTTGAGTCAAAAACGTAGACATAGGTCCGCCTTACAATTGAGAAAAAAAACGTAGACATAGGTCCGCCTTAGAATTGAGACAAAAACGTAGATATAAGTCCGCCTTACAATTGAGAAAAAATCGTAGACATAGGTCCGCGTTACAATTGAGACAAAAAGGTAGACATAAGTCCGCCTTACAATTGAGACAAAAAGGTAGATATAGGTCCGCCTTACAATTGAGAATAAATCGTAGACATAGATCCGCCTTACAATTAAAAAAAAAGTTAGACATAGGTCCGCCTTACAGTTGAGACAAAAGTAGACATAGGTCCGCCTTACAATTGAGAAAAAATCGTGGACATAGGTCCGCCTTACAATTGAGACAAAAAGGCAGGCATAGGTCCGCGCCTTATAATTGAGACAAAAAGGTAAATATAGGTCCGCCTTACAATTGAGACAAAAGGGTAGACATGTGTCCGGCTTACAAGTGAGATAAAAACGTAGTTATAGGTCCGGCTTAAAATTGTGACAAAAAGGTAGACATAGGTCCGGTTTACATTCGATTCAAAAAGGTAGACATTGGTCCCGGTAACAATTGAGACAAAAGCGTAGACATAGGTTCGCCATACAATTGAGACAAAATGGTAGACTTAGGTCCGCCTTACAATTGAGATAAGAAGGTAGACATAGGTCCGCCTTACAATTGAGACAAAAACGTAGACATAGGTCCGGCTCACAATCGTGAAAAAATCGTAGACATTGGCCCGGTTTATATTAGAGTAAAAAAAGATAGAATTAGATCCGCTTAACACCTCAAAGTCCGATTCATACATCAGTCAAAAGGGTAAAAGGTAGAAAAATTCGGTAGACACCCCGACTAATACTAGAATAAGAAAATACAGATATAGATCCGATTTACACCAGGTCAAAAAGCTCCGGTTTACACGTTATTCTAAAAGGTAGACATAGCCCCCAAATGTACGGTTTACACTAGACTATATCTCACGCCTATTATAACGCCTATAACTTACGCATATTATAATGTCTATAACTAACGCCTATAAATTTTGCCTATTATAACGCCTATAACTCACGCCTATTATAACGCCTATAGCTAACGCCTATATGTAACACGTATTATAACATGTATGACTAACGCATATTAAAACGCCTATAACTAACGCCTATGACTAACGCCTATTATAATGCCCATAACACACGCCTATTAGAACCCCTATAACTAACACGTATATCTCACACCTATTGAAACGCGTGTAAATCCCACCTATTATAACGCCTATAACTCAAATATTTTAACGCCTATAACTAACGCCTTTTATAACGTCTATAACTAAAGCCTATTAAACCGTCAATATTTAGTACCTATTGTAACATCTATGAGTAACTCCTATTAAAACGCCTATAATTAACGACTATTATGGCGCCTATAACTCACACATATTTTAACGCCTATAACTAACGCCTATAACTAACGCATTATAATAACTATAACTAACGCCTTTTATAACGACTATAACTAACGCCTATTAAAACGCTTATAATTAACGTCTATTTTAACGCCTATAACCAATGCATATTATAAGGCTTATATCTAGCACCATAGGTGCTAGATATAAGCCTATGACTAACGCCTAAAACTAACGCCTATTATGACGCCTAAAACTAACGCCTATTATAAGGCCTATAACTAATACCTATATCTCACATCTATTATAACGCCTATAACCCTCGCCTATTATAACGCCTATAAATCATACCTATTTTGACGTCTATGTCACATCTATTTTAACGCTTATAACTAACGCTGATAACTAACGCCTATTTAACGCCTATAACTAACGCCAATGATAACTCCAATTATAACGCCTATATCTAGCACCTATTATAACGTCTATAATGAACTCCTATTAAAACGCCTATTATAGCGCCCATATCTAAAGCCTATTATGACGCCTATAACTAACTCCTATTAAAATGCCTAATTCTCCGAATCTAATACCCGTATAATGCCAAGTTTTTTTTATAAGCACAAAAAAGGAATATAAAACTTAATTCTCAGAACAATAGATGAAATACACTAAATTTGACAGACGAATTATGCAAAATAGGAAAAGACAAAATTATTTAAGTATGAAAATCGAAAAAATTGAACAATTTTCACAATATTAATAGCCAATATCATGGCCTTTCATCTTCATAAGTTGCTGCAATCTAATGAAAGATAGACAACGAATCTTAGCACGTTGTTGACAAATAGACTTGTTTTTTTGTTTTTATATTTTTATACTTGTATACATTTGTTTTTAACACAGCCTGAAGAAGACAGACATACAGTCGAAACATTGTTGAACCTTATTAAAATCAGGGTCTGTTCATTTTGTTTTCTTAAATTACATTCTTCTCTAAGTGTTGAATAATATTAGAAGAATTACGTCAATCGTTTTTTATTTTATATATATATATATATATATATATATATATATATATATATATATATATATATATATATATCTTTTATATATATATATATATATATATATATATATATATATATATATATATTGAATAGATGTGAGTTTGTGACCTGGGTTTCACGCTTTAGCGATCGTCAGACGACGATCGCTAAAAGCGTGAAACCTAGGTCACAAACTCACATCTATCCAAGCAAATATGCAAATTATATATATAATTTCTAATAAGTACCATGCATATAATATATAAATAATTATACATATATATATATTTATTTATATTTATATACACTTTTTCACATATATATATATATATATATATATATATATATATATATATATATATATTTTCTTATATATATATATATTATCATATATGTGTGTGTGTGTGACTATGTGATTTGGAATCAAATGTGTTTTAAAATCTGACTGAATAATAGAATAATTAAGAAATCTTTAACATTTAAAAATTGACAAGTTTCGTTTTTTTTATTCAAGTTTCATCAGTTGTATCGTGTGTGTGTGTGCGTGTGTGTCTGTCTGTATAGATGCGGTCATTTTTGTGTCTGTGTAACGTGTTTAATTCCCCCTCTCTCTCTCTCTCTCTCTCTCTCTCTCTCACGCACACACAGATCACACTACATGACACCCGCATATGTGTATCTCCCAGAGGTGGATTCAGAACTTTCCCAAGATTCTTTGCGCGTAAGTGAATATATCAAACCCGACTGGAATTCGAACTCGGCTCTCTGGTTGAAAATTCTGAGCGATTATCCATTACACCATTCACACATCCAAGCTTCCAACACCTGACATTTACAAGCGTTCACCCACCTTGGTACTGACCAAGCTCAACGTTGCTTAACTTCGCTCATTGTACGGAAAGCGGCGTTTTAACGTGATGTGGCCGTAAGGCATCTTCATCGTTGTCGTTATGTTGGAGCGTGACGACATCACAGATGACTTGTCAACCAATTCCAACGATGTCTCTTTTTTTTCTTTCTTTTTTTCTTTCTTTCCTTCCTTGTTCTTTCTTTCTTTCTTTCTCTTTCTTTTTCCTTTTCTTTCTTTTTGCTTCTTTCTTTACTTCTTTCCTTCTTTCTTTCTTTCTTTCTTTCTTTCTTTCTTTCCTTCCTTCCTTCTTTGTTTCTTTCTTTCTTTCTCTGTTTCTCTGCTTCTTTCTTTTTCCTTCTTTTCTTTCTTTTTGCTTCTTTCTTTACTTCTTTCTTTCCTTCCGTCCTTAGCTCCTTGCATCTTAGGGACTTTATTGACTTGTTTGGGGGGAAATGATTAAAATATTTTCATGGTAATGGTTCTGGTGAGCTTTTCTATTTGGTACCTAGACTTTACAAATTTAAGCTCAGTACTAGATTGGCAGATAGGTCTCATCATTTTACAGTCGAAATAGCTACATATAACCTTAACGTCTATGCTAACAGTTTCTGTAGCGTTTCTTGCTTCTAGAACTCTCTTCCAGCTTCTTGCTTTCCAGTCAACTTTGACCATCAAAAATTTAAATGCAATATCAATCCTTAGCTTCTGTGTTCTCAATAGCTTTTTTTTTTAGTGTTCTTTCTCGTAATGTTTTCTTTTTCGAATATTCAGTAACTCCTTGCATTTTAGGGACTTTATTGAGTTGTTTGGGTTGAAATGATAAAAAAAAAGTTGGAAGTTGACGACTGTTGTGCTAGAACGCAGTCACAAGTCATCGTGGCCGAGGGTTTCAAGGTACCGCGCTCGTTCAAAAACAAATGCTCAGCAGAATAGTGGCATAAAACCTCGGGTGAACCCAAGAGTTTTTTGAGCGAAATTGGGTAGACGCAATTGTTTGCTGGTTGTGCTAGTCACAAGTCATCGTGACCGAGGCTTTCATCGTATCACGCTCGTTCAAAAACAGATGATCACACCTGAATATGCACCCTCCCCAGAAACTGTAACTTAGGTCTGCTCAGTATGATCGCGGTTTTAAAACATGGTTGGGGCACTGTAGCTGTTTAACCAATAAAAATGTGCATGAGCATGCGTCTGCAACAGGGATCAACTGCCGTTTGCTTTCGGCTAGCGGGGGAAAAGGAAAACCGTAATCTTTTTCAAACAGAGTTTGTAAACTTAGTTCAGTTTATCTTGGACCTCCTTGTTCTCTTCATTCAAAAAGAAAAATAAATAAATAAATAAAAATGTCACCCACTTCCACCACCGTCATGTTTCCACTTGTTAAAATCATCCTATTCACGCCAAGCTAACTCTTGTTATCAGCGGCCCAACCCGACCCCCCGGTAGAACACCGCCGCGTTTTATTTCCCCCACCTCTGCAGGCAGCGAGAAGAAGTCGGGTTGCACAGGAGAGGGCGTGGGTGAAATCAACCGGAGGTCAGTTCCACACTTACGTTTACTCCGTGAAGTAAAAGAAAAAAAAAAAAAAATTGAAAAAATAAAAACAAAAAATGTCAAAGCGGGTGGGGAGGGGGCCGGAAATACGATAGGGTTGAGGAGTTCGGAACTCTCCGGTCTAGGGAGTCACAAACTATCACCTTGGGATGAAATACAAAATGACAGGCATGTGCACCATGACATAAAATCATTAAAATTTATCCAGTTAATATATATATATATATATATATATATATATATATATATATATATATATATAGAGAGAGAGAGAGAGAGATAGAAATATAATCCCTCCCTATACTCTACCATGTCTTTAACTACCCCCTTTTACACTCTCTGTCAAATTACAAAGACTTACCCACCAATTTTAATTTCATTTTGAATGTGCTATCTAATGATCCGGCGTCCTTTAAAAGGGCTCTGGTGAAATAAATTATTATAATGGTACCTTAAAATGTTCTGTTTTTCTTTTAAATTTTAGCTCTGGATTTACATTGAGCTCTCAGGATTTCATCCTCCTTGGGATTAACAAGTTCTTCATAACTTAAAATATATATATATATATATATATATATATATATATATATATATATATATATAATTTAAAGAAAAACAGACCACTATAAGGCTCAATTTGTAATAATTTATTTCACCAGAGAATTTTATTTTTCTCTGGATCTTCAGACTTTCAAAAGGTGAAACGAAAAATGAATTTAAAATTTACACATTTGACGGGCAGTATTAAGCTTATATAAGTTGACATAGAAGGTGGTGAGGAATAGTGTGAGAGGCATGGTCGAGTTTAGGGCGGGGAGGGAGAGTTTTAAAAATTTATTTTTATATTTCTTTTTATTATAATACTTAATATTGAGGAAGGAGGTGGTAAGGATCAGACATTGACCTATTCAACTCAAACGGAAATCAAGAAAAAAAAAAGAAAAAAGGGGATATATATATATATATTAACCGAAAATACAGCAAGACATATACTGTATCTTTCTTTCTTTTTATGTGCCATGTCCTTTAAGGACGTAGGCGATCATGGCTCTCCATCTTCCTCTATCCCTTGCAGCTCTCAACAAGTTCCTTCCCTCTGCTTTCTCTCCAAGACCACTTGCTTAAGTTCGCCAGGTATGTCACACACTGCTTTCCCTTGTCTCTCTTTACCTCTATTCGCCCCGTGAGGATTAGATTTTCCAGGCCGTCCTTCCTCATTATGTGTCCTAGAAACTTCAGCTGCCTCTTCCTTGTGTTAAGTATAAATCTCCTAGTTGTTTGCAACTTCATCGTTGCTCCGAAGCCCAGGCCATGATATCCTTAGCAACCTTCTGTAGAACCACATCTCTGTCGCCTCGAGTCTCTTCTTCATCTTTGAGGAAATCGTCCCACATTCGCTGCCGTAAAGAAGGACAGATGTCACGTAATAGCTCAGTATTCTTTTCTTTGTTACCAAAGAAATCCTCCTGTCTTGCAATACTCTGCCCAGCTTTTGGAGTGCGTCCTTGGCCATCCAAATACGTCTATAGATCTCAATATCGCACTTACCGTCTTCTGTCAAGACGCTTCCCAGATATTTAAACTTCCGTGTCTGCTTGATTCCTTTGTTCCCGACCTGCAAATCGTATTTCGGGCTCTTCCTCTTATAGATGACCATGCATTCTGTCTACTTGTAGTTTACTCCTGCAATTGCTCCGAGGAGCTGCATTCACCAGACTCCATGAATTCAAGCGCCCTACGAGGCTGGCATCCCGCTCTCATAATTTCACTGTCGAAACTCCTAAATGTAGCCGTTTCTTCTACTCTAATAGCTTCATGACTCGCACCTCTCACCTGTGGAACTCCATTCCCTATTCCAGTTTCCCTGAGAGCTATAATCTCCAACTATTCAAATGTAATGTCAATCGACATCTCCAGTTGCCTTGATCTATCCACTACCCTTCTCCTCGTCCTTTCTTCTATCACTCCTATCTGATCTTGTTCCAAATTTTTTCTGTAACCCCTTGCGTCCTAGAGGCTTCTCGCCTTGCTTGGGGTGAAACGCTTAAAAAAAATAAAATTTAAACCTTCCGGGTAAAATAATGTTTCCTGTTTTACTTTTATGGTAGGCCCAAGAGTAACTCAAGGTAGAATGGTAAGAAGCGAAGTATCTGAGGCTATGTGAAGAAGACAGCGGTTAAACGAGACTAATTTTTATCAGTCATCTCGTCCCAATCAAGGTGAAATGCCACTAAGACGCAAAGGGTAAAAAAAAAAAAATCTACTCCTGCTCAAAAGACGTGGCTAATCTATGCAACATTAATAAGTTAAGGATGTAGTGATCGCTTCTTATGTAAAAAGTATCAGATTGAGCGGAAATTCCTCCTTATCAATTGAATATGGAGAGAATGAGGATGACTTGAACCAATGTACGTGGGATGGTGGGTTTTAGCTGTAAAGGTCTGAACTGGTGAAACTAAAGAATGTAGCTCGTCTGAACAATTGCCATGGAAATAGCGACAGGGTAGCGAGAGGCTTAGCTGTGAAGGTCTGAACTAGTGGAACAAATGAATGTAGCTTGTCTGAACATTTGCCATGGAAATAGCGATAGGGTAGAGAGAGTCTTAGCTGTAAAAATCTGAACTGGTGGAACTAAGGAATGTAACTCGTCTGAGCAATTGCCGTGGAAATAGCGATAGAGTAGAGAGAGGCTTAGCTGTGAAGGTCTGAACTGGTGGAACTAAGGAATGTAGCTCGTCTGAACATTTGCCATGGAAATAGCGATAGAGTAGAGAGAGGCTTAGCTGTGACGGTCTGAACTAGTGGAACTAATGAATGTAGCTCGTCTGAACATTTGTCATGGAAATAGCGATAGAGTAGAGAGAGGCTTAGCTGTAAAGGTCTGAACTGGTCGAACTAAGGAATATAGCTTGTCATTATTGAAGTCTACCCAAAATAGATTACCTTAACTTATTAGATATTCAAAATATCCATTAAATGACTGCCTGAAAACCTGAAATTCCAGCTAGGTGTCTGGGTCCGCTCGATAGATGTTATGTCACGTGAACGAATCTCCGGGTTGAAGAACGCAATTAAATTTAGAAAAACGAAAATAAATTAAAAAAATAAATAAAATAAAATAATAATAAACAAATAAATAAATAAAAAGGTTTTCAAAAATTCAAACTGGTAAGAAAATAGCTTACAAATAAAACTGAACCCGAATAATGTTTTTTTTTTTTTTTACATGTGTTTCTTTAAAATTTCGCTTGATTTTCATAGAACGTTTCTGTTTTGTTTTTTAATCAAGAAACAGAACTGTTATGTGAAATTGCTGGCCGAAAGCTAAGCAAAGTATTAAGAATTATTTACAGTATTTACAATGTTCAGCCTATTATACTCATCTTTGTTGCCATATTTACGAGGTTTCGGCTGTTGTACATCTGGTCTTCTTCACGCGATTTAAATATCGAAAGAAACCAGTTACTTCATCCACCAAGGTACATTGTTCTAGTTCCACGTGCCATGCCCCTTCCGGGTGTCTCAGTTTAAGTTCCAGCTATTCTAATTTCACGTATCATGCCTCTTCCGGTTTCAGTTCCAGCTGTTCTAGTTCCACGTTCCATGTCTCTTGCGGGTATCTCAGTTTGATTTATTTCACTTTACTAATTCAACACCAAATTTTTTTCACCACTGCTGTGGCGAAGTACCGAACTCACTACTCTTTGGGTCACCGATACTTAACATGAGGAAGAGAGTTGAAATTTATAGGGCATATAATGAGGAAGAAGGCTTGGTACACACAGGACAGCTGCAAGTCAAGAGGGACAAGGCAAAACAACATATAACCTACCTAGCGATCATGAGTGGTTGGATGGCAGAACATGGTTTGGGAGAGATGGCAAAAAGTCAAAATTTATTGACAGATACACCCCTGCGCAAATTAATTGAAACAACCTCTCTATGAACCTATTTTCGGGGTGTATGATGAAATTTGTTTGACCTTGAAAAATATTGCGTCATCCGTGATTGCATCAGATTTTTATAACACCCAGACACTATTGTCCCGACTGTCGATTAGTTGTCCTAATCAAGCGTACGAAAATTGTAACGCTGCATGAACACACTGGCAAACCTTACCAGTGAGCAAATCAAAGTACTATAGACTGGCCCGGAAACTCTCTTGATTTAAATCCAATCGAGAATCTGTGGTCAATCTGCAAGGATCGACTTCGTGGAATGGACATACAAACACACAGGCAAGCCTTACCAGTGAGCAAATCAAAGTACTATAGACTGGCCCGGAAACTCTCTTGATTTAAATCCAATCGAGAATCTGTGGTCAATCTGCAAGGATCGACTTCGTGGAATGGACATAGGAACACACTGGCAAGCCTTACCAGTGAGCAAATCAAAGTCCTATAGACTGGCCTGGAAACTCTCTTGATTTAAATCCAATCGAGAATCTGTGGTCAATCTGCAAGGATCGACTTCGTGGAATGGACATAGGAACACACTGGCAAGCCTTACCAGTGAGCAAATCAAAGTCCTATAGACTGGCCCGGAAACTCTCTTGATTTAAATCCAATCGAGAATCTGTGGTCAATCTGCAAGGATCGACTTCGTGGAATGGACATAGGAAGTACTTACATGGCACTGGGTCATGTTTCATTGGAAAAATACGGATAAAAATAAATAACGGAATTATTCCCCTTGTTTCAATTAATTTGCACAAGGGTGTACATCAGGCAGAACGGAAGAAGCACAGAGAAGGAAAAAAACTGACCTTATTTTACAGTAGATGACCAGCTTCTGGTTAAGTATATTCTAATATAACCATCAGTTATCTGGGAAAATAATTAGTAAAACAATTGTATCGTATTATTGATGGTTAATATGCAATAATAATTGACTACATAATAAAAAAAAACAATAGTCGATTTTATAATATACAGCGTGCGATTTGTAAATTATTTTATATTTTTAATATCACGCATGCGCGTTGTTTGTTTGTTAGATGAGTCAGTTGGGCAC